TGTTCTTATCCAAATGAACGCGTGTTTGCTGAAAAATGTGTGCAAGTACGTTGTGTTGACATGGGGCTTGTCCTGGCCGCTCTGTGATAAGAAGAGCTTTGTCTCTAGCAGAGATTGTTTGGTTTTGGTTTTTTTCCCCCTCTGTGTATGTAACATGCCCTTGCTTTGTGGTTAGGGGAGAGTTCTGTGCATCCCTCTTAAGTGACTTTCTCTGTCCAAATGAAAGAGCATCTGTGTCGGAGCTATCTGTATCAATGCCCTTGAGAAATTTGTCGTGAGGTGGGATCTTACATGTATAAGGAAAGCAAGAGTGAAAGAGGAGAGTCTCAGTTTCTTGGTACGTGAACAGATTAGCTCGGTGTAACCTGTTCTGCATTAACTGTCTGCGTTTAAACTCTTACCCCATGGTACACTGCAGTAAACATGAAATAATTGGATGGAGATCAGTAACAAAGAAGGGGTTAAATTACTTTGTTTATCCGGGCTTACGTGGAGTAGGTGTGCTTACTGGTACTGTCAGGCAGGTAGTACAAGGTAGCTTATCCATGTTTCCTAGTGAAAAAGAGAGGTTTTCTTTGGGTTTGTGGGTGGGTTGGTTTTGTTTTCCCCTTTCTCTTTTTAAATTTTTTTTCTTTCCCTTCTTGTGTCTGAATTAGCCACAAGTTAGGCTACGGAATACCTGATGTTACCTTCTTTTGCAGTAGGACAATACAGCCAGGTTGTCTTTTTTCCCCTAGTGTATGTCACTTCTTCATAATTCCTAGGTTTTGATAGTATTTAATATTTTGGAAAAACTAAGAAAAATGAAATTGCAGGACAGTTTCTCTTAGTGACATTCATTTTTTGCAGAGGTATTTTTAATGGGTGGGTGGGAAGTCCAGTGAAATGGAAAAAATGCCAAATGTGAAAATATTTTACCATACATCTTAAGAATGTCAGCTGTAGAGGTATTGCATCACTTTGTCAGCCCTTCATTTGTATATTCTGTGAAATTCTGACATCACAACCAGAGAGGTACAGCTTCAACCTGTACAATTTGTATGTGTTAGTATAATTTCAGTGTTGGAATGGTTCCTATGTTAGTAAGATGGTCTTTGAGAGTTTCTCAGATTGGTAGTCTTTAACATCAATTTTAAATATATTTTCAGAGCAGGATTTGTATATCCAGCAAATTTGGAGGCAACATAACCTAGGTGTTTTTTTTTTTTTTCCCCATGTTGTTGTTTTTCCATCTCATTTTTTTGCTTACGTAGTCTGAGTAAAATACAATCAGGCAGTTATGTGACTGACTTAATATTTAGAGTTTATTTGGCACCACTTGTTTGTGTCCTTTGGTATTACACAAACCTTTCTTCTTGGTCTTGCTGAGTATTTAGCTTGTAATTAAGCAACATTATTCCAGTTAAGAAAAAAACCAGATATCTCTAGTTTAAAACCCTTTCAATCTGAAAAAGCAACAATTTGACATTTATGTGAAAATCTACTCAGGCTATTATCTGTAGCATTGTGCTTTTTATTTGTACAATTGAACCTCTATTCAGCACTTAATAAAGTAATGTGTTGCAGGCAGTCCAGTTTGTGTTTGAGTGATTATGAAGTGTTTATGACAGCTTCTAAGCTGACACTCTCCGTAATGGTGTTACATTGACTTCTAAACACCTTCGCAGTCTGCCTCCAGGAGTGTGTGTCTCTTTGCAGTCTGAGTGGTTTCACATTAACATCTCCTTGGAGTAAGATCTTTGACTACAGAAGTGTTACTCGCAAATGGAAGATACCATTAGGGCTGCTTCAAAGGACTGAAATAATGTTTGGACTGCTGGGTGCTGAAGTAACGGCTGGGGTTTTGAAGTGCAGTGTCTAAATCTGTATTGCATAAGAAGCGGAAGGTGTCCATCCAAACGACTTTTCTTTGATCTCTGTTTTGAAACGGGGGTGGGAAGGTTAAAAGTGTTCTTAAAATATGCTTTGCTAAGTGGGGAGAAATCTGGGAATATACAAAAGTATGACTAGAAGTTCCTATTTGATAATTGTGCAGTGTAGCTTTGTGTTTTATTTGGAATTTGTTTTTCCCTTGCTCCCAGTTTCATGTTTCAAATACAGTTGGAACTGTTTTCTGCCTAATGTGGTTTCCAAGTATCTGTTCTAGATGTTCTTGTTCAGGGAAATGCGTGTTGGCTGGTTTTGTGGCAGATAATTTTTTTTCATTGTATGCTGGAGGCTTCAGAAGTAGAAAAATCATCTTAATTTAATGGTTCGTATTACAATTAAGAAAGAACGATCAAGGTTGAGTTGAATGAAGTAGGAACTACCAAAGGGAACTTTTAATAACAAGCGCAGCTGTATATTTAGCAAAAAATACTTAAAGGCTGTGGTATAATGACGCTGCCACAGACTGATGGGATGCATCAGCCCATATGGTAGGTGACTTCCACGTGGAGACCTCTGGAATGCAGAGGACTTGCTGGACAAGGATGACATCATGCACTGCTGTTTTTCAACTGTGAGACCTTGAATTTCTTTAAATGCTGCTGTCAGTAACACTATGATTTTTAAGTTGTTAAAACTGCGGTTTTACAGCAGGTGGTGTGTGGATGTATAGAGGGATGTATACAGTAAGTCAGATGTATCAGTTCCATTTTGTTTTCTCAACTGTTCATCTAAAGCCCTGTCTGCTGGGGTTTCGGTGTGGTCCTATTAGTCCCTTTGTAATTCTTCCCCTTTTAGAGCTGGGAAAAGAACTAGTCACTTATCGCATGCTGAGCCGCCATCCTTCCTCTGTCCAGACCTCCTCCTGATAGAGGGTACCGCTGTTAAGGCTTGTATTAGCCACCTGGAAAAATGTAGTAATGACCTGACCTAGGAACCCTGAAAAATGCCTAAGGACTTTACAAAACATCTATGCAAATCATTTTCTGAGGCTTTGGCTTTTTACACTGCACATGCTAGCAGTACGTAAGAAACTTTCTGCTTTTACACTCATTAAGTGACTTCAGAACTGTTGGAAGTTTTTTTTAAACTCATACCCTACATTGGTAGGAAAAAAAGCACGTGCAGCAACCTTTGAAAAAGATGCGGTGAGAGGTATCAGAAGAGTCCAAACGGCCTTCCAAGTGGCTCTCCTTGGATGGGGTCAAACCTAAATGAACACTCACGAAGGGTGTTTTTACCCGTATTCTGCCTCCTTCCAATATTGTCTGCGTCATTCTTGTCTCTAGAAATGAAGTGACTAAAAACAATACAGAACTGTCTCCCAAATTAGAATTTCATAGGGATCCTGCAGCCTGATCAAGCTAATCCTCTTCAAAATGTATGACAAATAAAGTGAGAACATTGAGGAAACTGTAACCAAACCCATTTCTAAGCTTTAATTGTTTTTTAAATTCAGTTAGCATTGTCATAATTTTAAATGCTAGGTGCAATTTCATACTTAATTCAGTCACTAGAGTAGACGTCTGTAGTGTTCTTTGAGCATCTGCATTCTTATAATCTCTAGATAATTACAGAGATTTGTTTTGAATGAAAAAGCAGACTGTATTTCTAAACTAAAATGATAAAAATTGTCCTTTTACTTACTTACAGTCCTTCCTTAATCTCTCAGTAGCAAGATGACTGGTAGTAGTCTTTAACCCGGCATGATTATATCAAACAGTATTTTGTGGTGGTAACTGTCAGTTGCTTATTGTCCTATTGTAACATCATATCATGATAATCTAGATCATATTTAAAACATATATCAGAATATTTTAAAAAAACCGCACCCTGATATCTTCCCTGTGCTCTGTGACAGTTTTTTACTATACAAGGAGTTTGCTTTTAGGTAGTTGCACAGTAGTTGAAACATTGTGTTTTGAACTGTGTTTCAGTTTGGTGTATGTTTGACTTTTTTATTCTTTTTTTCCCCCCCACCATGTGAGAACCATTTTCTATGGTTGGAAACTATTAGTTATCCTTAGTGTGAACAAAACTTCCTTTGCTCTGTTTTTTTAATGGGTGCAAACTGGTATGCTCCAAACAATAAAGCTCTGTCATCAAAAATTAAGCAGCGCTCCAGATTTCTGGTCTGTCCTATTTTAAGCAGTAGTTCAAGATGTCTAAATGGAGGAGAGAGTTCTTCCTCTTTCAATCTGTCATTATGGGAAGAAAGCAATGAATGCTTCATTGGGGGCCGGGTTTTGAATCGGTGTGTTCTTTGCTTGCAGCCTTCCATGTAGGTCTGGGGCTTGTGGTTTGATACCAGGCACTGGGAAGGCTGAAAAGTTCTATCGGACCAGCTTGGAGCCGTCAATTTGGATCCACTCTTTCATAGAACGAGTACCTGAAGCTGCTTTTATAGCTTAATATTCAATTCTTGAAACCTGTTTGGAAATATTCTTGGCTTTTGGAATGGGAAAGGAAAACTTTTAAGAGCTTTGAAAGCTGCCACAGGGACTCGCTACTTAGCTGGATCAAATCCAAAATGGCAGCCACAGCCTAGTTTCTTCACAGGTGCTTTTTGAAGAATTTAAAGCTCTGTTTTCGGTTCATGAAATCTATTTATATTTTGTCTATGCGTATGAGACTGTGTAGCTCAAGGGACTGGTAATGGGATGTGGAGCCTTTTACTCACACAGGCCAGCCCACATCTCACCCAAACTGGCAGCAACGAAGTTGTTAGCCGTTTAGCGATGGGGCTGGGCTTGTGTTAAATGTACTTCCTTGTCCCACTTCAGTTCCTAGTGGAATAAGTGTCCCATTCACAGAAAAGATTGGCTGTCTGTGTTGGCTGTCTCAGGAGTGAGATAAGGCCTGACCTGGCAGGAAGATCAGACTATGTAATCTCTCTACTCTGAAGATGGTGCTTTCAGTCAAAATTGGTACGTGTGGCCTCAGCAATGGTAATAAAGTTTTATGTTTTATATAGATAAATGAAGAGCATTAGCATCAACCACAGCTAATTCAGAATTTTATAAGACTGCAAATAGCAGAAGCTTCTGCTGGTGGTAGTGTTTAAAAAAAGTTAATTATAAGTCAAAGAAAATCTTGAACTCTAAAGCCCTAATGCATTTTTCAATGCCAAGCAAACCAGAGGAACAACCAAGCTCTTACTAATTCAGGGCATACAACAAAGTCCAATGCCTTTGGATATAGTCCAATGCTATAGAAACAGATTTCCTGTTTCTATAGCAACAGTTAAGGACATACAACTTAAAAAAAGATACTGTAAGAAACCTGATATATTATGGAGCTATGTATTAAGTATTGGTGTTTTAATCTGATCCATGTTGTAGTGCCATGTCCAGATTTTTTGGAAACTTTCTGGTGCTTTTTACTGAATTTGACTTTTTCTTTACAAATGAGATGCCAGTGGTTGGGTGGGATCTTGTATTTTCATTACAAATTCTGCAGGGGAGGTCTATGCTAAAATTTCCTCCTTTTTGTCTCCCGTGGGAGTCAACAACATATAATCTGCAAAGTACATGAGCTGTACGGATGGCTGAAGTTATCTGAACATTTACTTGCCTTTTCCTTAGTTCTACACAGTTTCCCCTTTCCTGGAGGAAAAAAAAATCCTACACAGACTGAGAGGAAAGGACATGTTACATTACAGTATTGCATGTTACAGTCGTCTCAAAACAGTTAGGAGCTGACTACCTATAATCTCATCTTTGTCACTGTCTGATCCTGTGGCTTTGCTTAGTCCGTTCAACCTTTCTTTCTGTAATTTCCCCCCAGTATAAAACAATAAAGTAGTTATCTTTCAAATAATGAATATTAATTACTAAAAAGTAAAAGCGTTACACGCATGAAAAGAGCTGGGCTGGGATTTTCATGTTAGGTGCTGAAGTACAAATAAACTTAATTTATATTTGTACATTTTAGGCTTTTCTTTGAAAATTTCAACTTGAAGCTCTACCAGGTCTTGGCATCACAGGCTAAATAAACATGCTCTCTGGAGTTCAGTGTATTTAAGAACAGAAACTGAGTTAAGAAGGTTTGGCCTTCTTAGTGTATCTTACTTCTGGGACTATAACTTTATTTGAAGTAGGTTGGAGTTAGAGCTGATGTGCTGGCACACTTAAAAAGTAGAAGGAGGTGACTGAACTGGGTTGGATTATTTTATGTGAATCACTTCTTCCATACTTTTGTTGGGTTAGTTCTTTTCCCTCTTGTTTTCATTCATAGCCATTGATGTGCATACACATGTGAAAGAGCATTTTCAGGATTTGGGGGAAAAAATCTTTAATTGCCAATAATAATAGTTCCAAAGCCTTATATTTTTCTTCTTCTCCATTTCCTCCTTTCCCTTTTCATAGAACTGGTGTGTTCCGATGGATAGAAAATGTGCTGCTGTCTTCATCTCTTTTCATCTCTTTATTACTCACTCTCTCTTTCTTTAATTTTTCCTCATTTTCTGCTTAGCTGCGCTCTACTTTTTTCCAAGCTGTCTTTTCTGGATGCAGATGTTACCTATGTGCTCTTCCCCCCGCCCTGCCCCATGCTCCAGGCTCACGATCTGTTCAAAACAATCAGCAAAGCTTTACTGAGTTGATTTCTGATCATCATTCTTTTGTCTTGTATAGAATCTGGTCAGCAAGCTCTTCAGAGCAGAGGCCTCCAGCTGTCCCAGAGGGAGAATTAAACTTGTTTTGCAAAAGCTGGAGTACTACAATGTTGTATGTTGTTCAGATGATGCTGCTAGCTGGAAGAGGAGAATCCGCTCCAATTGGAACATCTGCCTAATAAAATAAGAGCAGGGTAGACTAAGGGATTAATTCTCATATTGATTACAGTTTTAAAACTGTTGTGTCCATCAAGAATAATTCTGATCACAGCATTGACAGTAACGTTGATTCATACCGATGTGGAACTGCTAGCTGTCTGCAAATCTAAAATGGCTAAGAATGTTAGTTCCCCAAATTTGTGTAGCTTGAATTTATTCCAGGTGTAATATGGAAAAGCAGTAGTTCACTACATTCTGTGTGTACTTACTGTTTACAGAATGGTGGGCTACATTTGTAGTAAATAGGGTTTTCAAAGTAATGTTATGAAAGACTTGTGCTTCGGTGGGGTAGGTTTCATTCTGCCCACATTACATAAAGCAGTGGTAATAAACAATGAGGCTCGGGGTTAAGATTGGAAGTAAACTAAGAGTCTGAAGTACTATACTTACGATTTGTTGGTCAAACAGTAGTAGTATTTTAACCGTTTGGACGTGTGATCTGAAGTGCAGAAAGAAACGGGAACAACTATAAAATGACATTTCAAAAAGCTAACTTGGGTTTATAGTTTATTGATTCATAAGAACCCTGTTCCAAATTGTATTCACTTCTGATATTGTAAACTGCTTGTTTGGCAAAACTTTGTGCCAACATGTTGGCTATGTTCTTAGTCTCATTACATCTGTTTTAAGTTGTTGGTTATTTGGAAATGAGCTTCATAATGTTTGCCATTTTCCTGAAGTTTGACGTTCCATATCAGATCCATTACCAGGCAGTTATGAAAATATATTCTGACTGGCCATTTACAGGAAGTCTGGAAATTCATCTTAACTGCTTCCGGTTTAATCTTTTCAAGATTGCCATTAGTGACAAACTTAATTAGTTTGACCCCCGATTTTTAAACATAATTTTCACACAATTTTTCACCATTGCAATGTAGCAATATATCAAATTCTCTGATCTTTTACCACCGATGTTTGCCACTCTTGATCACTGGTTGGTTAGCATTTTTCTTTGAAACATGTGCTGTGTAGAATAAATGCTTGTGTTTCAGATTCCTTGAATCTTTGTTAATTTTAGTCAGCAGTCAGCTTTAAAGTCTTGTTTCTTTTAAAACATGTATAGTCATTAATAGTAGCTAGTGCTAGTATCTCATTCACACAGTCTAAGGCATGCATTTCTAGAGGCAGGTCATCTTTATTGCTATCATTTGTGTTATTCGAGACTTCTAAGATACTCTCATTTAGAGAAATTGCGGGTGGTTGGTTAGAAAGGCAGCGTCTTACCAACTTACTTTCTTACCTACCTTTCGTACAATGTCTTTCTATCTACTTTCTTACCTACTAAACAGATATATTTTTATAAGTATATATATTTTCTACATTGTGTGTTCATAATCCGTATGTTTTGCAGATCAGTGGTGAAGCTCAGGAACTCTTTTCTGTCCGCCATGGTCCAGTTCGAGCTGCACGGATTTTACCAGCTCCACAAATCAGTAAGTATATATTTATATGGTTCATAATAAAGTATAACTAACTTTTACAGATCTTTGTCCAAATCATGGCTATAACCTGACATGTAGATTTTTTCGTTCATTTTAAACTGTCACCTTGATAATAGCTTTCTGCAAGTATTCTCTTTTCCTCCTACTCTGTAATCCAGTGCTCTCTCCAGTTTCATCTCCAGATTTTAGCTTTGATGCTGCTTCCTTTGTAGTTTAGAGGACATCTAGGTATATCTGTGCTCAGAGACCAGTCCAGAGATGTTAACGATTCTATTTGGAAATATTTACTAGCAATATTTTGTTGCTATAAAATAATATTGAAATTACTTTTTTATAGCAAGGCAGTGGCTGATAGCAGTAGATCTAGAAATTATTAATGTTTATTAAAAACTCATGTTATAGTGCATGGTAAAGTCTACTTGTAATGTGATGGCCTTCTAAACTCTTAAACTCTTTAGAAGAAGGATAGTATGGTTTGGGGTTTTTTTTGTTACCCATTCAGGAGCTGAAACTGAAACAATGTGAGTAAGATAATGCAAGTAGTTGATCTAAGTAATATAGTTCGTACAAAGAGAAAACATCCTTTTCTGATTATTTAACTATTTTATTTTTTAAAATATTTTTTTTTCTAATTTGTTCTCCTTCTGCTTATTTTATGTAAACTTTATTCAGTTTGACCTTTTTAGTGGTTGAACTTCCATCATGATCCCTTGAGTACCGATAGGCACCTCCTCTTTTTTAGTGCTTAAATACTGTTTTATCAAGTTCTAAGACAAGCTGCTTAGTTTGTTAAACAGGATTGTTTCAGAAATTCTGAATTACTGCCATGGAAGAGCTGGCTGCAAAGTTTAAGCAACTATGCATAAACAAGCAAATCCCTTTAAAGAAATGACACTGTTCAATCTAAACACAGAATGTGATTGTAGACTTCTTACAGGTCTAAGATCTGTTGGTGTCCTGTCTCATTTTTGGTTTCGGCAACGTTTTGCTTATCCGCTCTCCCTGTAACTTCAGCAGGGCAAGGTATTCTGTACAGCTGCTGAGTAGTATTTCTGGTTTAAATTGGTTGCCATTATTTTACCTCACGGATGAAAAGAATGTGCTTCTAGTATGACCAAGGTTTTTTGCGATAACACTGGATTACAGATTTTACTAGTATATTATGAATTAATTAGTGAACTAAAAAAATATAGCCTAAAATCTAATTGTTTAAATTTTAATTACCAAAATGGTAAATTATAATAATTTTGAGTCTCTCAAAGAAAGTAAATGAAGAAAGTTGAAGGTTTGATGGACATATTCTATATTGTCTCAGCGATTTCCTGAGCAGAGGAATATACAAAGCATGAGTATATGTGGTTCTGTAACGCTGTTACAGGTTAAAGTAATTTAAGGCAAAATACTTCACAAGCATTTTGTGCCTTTTGTTCAGTTTATGGGAACACTGCGTAACTCCTGATGAGCTGTGGTTTTTCGCTGTTACGTGTGTCGTTAAGTAGTGGATGTCTGTGCCCCTTCCTCACTCAAAGGAAAAAAAGAGGAGAAAGAGAAGTGTAAATGAAAATGAAGTAAATTAATTGAAGGACGCATAAGTTCTGTTTTTTCTGATAGCAAAATAGTGCTCTCTGATTTTTCAGTCTGGTAAGTTACACTGCTTATGAACTCCTTCAAGCAGTTACTCTCCTTCTGTCTCTAAATTGCATATATTTAGCATTTGACAATGATAGTTGTTACACTAGAAAACTATTCAAATTAGCTCATATTAACTGAAGTCAAACCTTTTAAAAACATGTTTTGGTCTCTTTTTACATGGCTTGGTTTAAATAAATCTTTGATTAAAAGTACATGAATGTATCATTGACCAGTATCTGGAATCAGATAAAAGTAAAGCTGTAATAAGACGCCTTAGATAACTAACACATGAGCTTTAATGATTCTGAACAAAATAAAAGGAATTTGTAAAGGAGAAGCTGATTACCATCAGTAGGCTCAAACACTATTTTACTGTAAAGCTGTAAAAAGGGAATTATTGAAAATAGGACTCTCTCGGTGGATGGATTTGGCACGTTCCTCGAAACAGATCTTAGTTTGTGATAAGAAGCTCATTCTCAGGTGTGAAAGGAAAGCTCATGGTTTTAACTTGGTGACTTTACAGCAGCAGAACTTAATAGTTTGTCAGCTATTTTGTTAAAATACTATACTCCTTTGATGTTAGATCCTCTGCTGCATCATGTGCTTCATAGCATAATAAAGCATTGTTTCAAAAGTTATTTCATACAGGCTTATTTCATGCAGGCTTATTGCAAAGGAGACCTCCTCAAATCTGATTTAGCAGGCTATAAGCGGTCCTAGTAGCAGGAACGTGGTGCAGTATCTGGAGCTGGCCTTGCATGCTGCCAACTCGGATCCGGTGAGGTTTATTAGTTCAGGCTCTGTGCCACGCTAGAACAGTTAAATGGCTCCTGGAACTGTTCTGACCTGGCAGCTATAATGCAATGTTCGTGCGGGGTTTTGTCTGAGCTAACAAACCAGGTAATACCTGACCTGGCCCAGCACTGCAGCACTTTGATCTCTCTGTGTCCGTGGCATGGTTGGTCTGCAGCCTGGATAAGATGGCCATGAAGAACTGAAAGATTTCTGTAAATAACGCTGAGAAATGTAGATTTTGACTCTTCTCTGTGGACAGCAAATATCTACTGTTGCCTTCAACAGTGGATGTGGCTTCGATTATTATTTACAGCTTGCAATATAAATGGCCTTTTTGGAGACTGAAGGTTTACACCGTGACCAAATTTTGGGCTTAAGAGGAGAGATAAAGTTGCATAGCTAATATTCAGAATATGACAACATCTCTGTCCGGACACTGTCAGTCTTAGAAATAAGAATACTAGGGCCTGGCACTTTGCATGCCACATGCTGCGTTACCTGGTTGGCACCTCTTTTTAACTCGCCTAGCTCTTCTTCACTTTCAAATCTGTATGCTATGATTGAGTTTAGTACTTATTTATATGTATTCAGGTGCCTGGTTTGCTGGGCTCTGGATTTCTCTGTCTCTTCAGATAAAACAAGCATGCAAAGATGTGTTCAAAGACAAATTGATGTGACTTTGCGATTATTAGAAGGGAGAAAATATTAAGTGGTAGATGCAAAACAAAGCTGGAATTCTGCCCGTTACATTTAGCTACTGTTCTCTGTGAAGAGGAAACTACAGTTGGTAACATGATTGTAGTTAATGATAGTGAGAGAACCAAGCAAAAATCAGGGTGTATTAACTCCCTGCTCCTCCATTTTACATGATTCAAATTTGTGATGGCCTCACTACTGCTCAAGTTACTCTGTATTGGGCTTCCTCTCACACAATACCTAATGGCTCTATTTAGCCACGCTGACCTAATTATTCATATTCTTTGTTCAACGTGTTTTCTAATTTTTCACCACTTCCTCTAGATGATGCCTTTCTCATTTTTCTGAGGTAACTGCTTGAATACATACTTACAGAATTGAAATGATACTGAGTTTGAGTATTCTGTCTTGGAAATTCCTAAATTTGCCTTGTGCTTTTTCTCTTTTGATTAGCATTTCCATGATATTTGTAGAAACACTAAAAGTATTATGTATTTAGGTTTTCTGTAGTAGTTGTATGTTCTTTGACCTGTGAAGTCACTAATAAAATGGATTCAGAACTCTTACAGCATTTTTAAAAATTTGTTGTGTTTTGACTTCATCTTGAGGTCCCTTGCATATATACTTCTGAATCGGTGCTAAGGAAATAATACATTTATTTCAGATAGCTTTGCTATTCTTTGTCATACAAAATCAGAATATTGCTGCTTTCTGAAGTGAGTTAGTGCTACAGTCTCCCATTTTTCATGACTTATCCCAGGTCGTTTTACAAAACCCTGTCCAAATACCTGCTTTCTGCCTTGCGCTATCCCATTCATTAAGGCAGGCTTGCATAGTTTAAAAGTCAATCAAGAAACTAGGAAAAGCTGCAGGAATAGCATTGTGTGTGGTAACTCATGGTTAAAGGGTATGCGATGACAGGCTTGTGTGTTGAAGTTTAGATCAGTCGGTGTCTGTAAAACCTATATCCGTGTCTCAGCATTATGAAAATAAATTCCTCCAGTGAACTGAATTAATTTATTGCCATTTTCTAGATGATGCTGCTTGCAGAAAAGGTGATCAAATAGTCCTACATCTCTCAATGAATTTGACTGCTTAGCCAAATTGACGGATAAGGAAAAAAAAAGCAAATAAGAAAGGAAATAAAAGAAAGAAATCAGAGGTACTATGTTTAAAACAACTATGAACCAAGGGAACCTTATGGATGAAGGGTTGAAAACTAGAACATGAAAAGCTAAAATTAATTGGGACATAGTAGTTTTGCATTTGAAAATCTAAAACTGTTAAAAGTTTAAATTTTGGAGCAGATTTATCTCTGTGCTCGACTGCTTACATCTTTGATTTTGGTAAAATAAAATTTGAACCTCAAAAGCTAACTCAGCTTTATGTGCAGGTATACTTAAAAGAACTATAATATTTAGGTTGCTTTCTAAAGGAAGGCAGATGTGAGTTTTGTATATATTCAACCACTTGGGTGGCTTAGTGGTTTTAAGTCCCTGAAGGCCAAAATAATTGCATAGTACGTATAGTAGGGGAGCTAGCCCCACAAGCTGAACAAGCAGTAGCAGTTGGTAGCTAGATTTGGATTGGTGTAAGTGGGCCATGCAGGTGTGCGTTTAGGTTTTGGTGTTTTGTAACCGTTGTGTGGGTTGTTATGGTATAATGGATCTTAATGTGTGTGGATTATAGACATTACAGAACAGAATTCTCAAGCATAGCAAGTAAGCCTTTTGTAGCTATTATAGGGAAGAATTTTGGAGGACGACATTTTAAAATACTAATTTCTTTGAAGTTGTGGGGACTGACCTGTATGCCACCATTTCAATTCTGACCACATCACGTCAATGCTTTAGACTATTAGACCTTAAACTTTCACCATATTAGACTGATACGTCTTTTAAGTTTTCTGAACAAGATTCAGTCAAAATGAAATATTTCTGTCTGTCTTCAGTTAGGGTGTGACTCTAGAAACATTGGTCTCTAGCAAATGTTTCAAGGTCATCTTTTTGTTGGGGTTTGGGTTTTTCTTTTTTTTCATATAGAAGCTACATAGTTATCGGTGAATAAAACTGGTGCTGTGCAGAAGAAAAAACAACTTTCTGTAAACATGCATAGCTCTGTCTCTTTGACGGAACTGCCAAGACAACGTTCTCCAGCCACCGTTGCTTCTTGCAACATTGCTGCTGTCTTATGTCAGAAATGGGAAGGTGGAATGGGCTGAGGAGGCAGATACGGAAGTCAGCGGGACTTGAAGGGGTGCTAGGGTGATAACTTTTGGGGGATGTAGATACGGAAGTCAACGGGACTTGAAGGGGTGCTAGGGTGATAACTTTTGGGGGATGCTAAGAAACAGGTATGACGATGCAGGTATTGGAGAGGGACTTTGAAACTTGGAATGTCTGGGTGGTGCTGAGGGGTAAGGGAGGTACAATAATACGATGCTCGTGGTCTACAACGTTAATCCTAAAGGAGCACCTGAAGGTCTGGGATGAGGACAGCAGTCGCAGCGCCATTGATCAGGCATGATACTGAATAACGGAGTTAGAGCCTATCTGTGCGGGAAATGGAGCGTTCCTAGATGCTACCCTGAAGCTGAGGAAAGAATTCACACGCTATTTTTAGGACTGACTCGAGCCTCTTCACCTCTGTTTCAAGTAGCACATATGCTTTTTTGCATTTGTGTTCAAGAAGAAAGCAGACACAAAACAGTAGTGATTAAGAACTGTTAAGAAAGATTTCCTCCCCCTGCCCCGCAAAAGAAGCAGCAAAATAGGGAGTGAAAACCATAAGTAGTGAGTGCCAGCCTTGTGGCCTAGTGCATTTCCAGGTACTGGTCGGCTACTACACTGACGCGGGGCAGGACCACAAATGCAACACAATTTTCAGGTAACAGATAGAAATAAGAGGGGTTTAGTTGAACAGGAGACACACTGCATTACTAAATGGCTGTGGTGGAACTTGAGCAGTGGAATTGCATACTGGAAAAAATAGACTCCATCGTGCATATATGCTATGGCTAAATAGGTCAGAATTGGACATTTCTACAGTGCATTTCTTGCTCAAGGGAAATGAGGGTGCTTTGCAGAGTTTTGAGTAGCTTTTGAGGTCCTGTGAAAATCACTGGGGTTTCATTTTTAGCCTTCAGAAAGGTGTGCTGCTGCTGCTGTTGTTCCTATTGTTATTGGCATTATTGAGAGGCCTTAGCAGGCCCAGGACATCTCTATTCACAGTTTCATCAGAAGTACAGTACATAAGCTGCTTTTGACTTCATAGAGTTCTAAATGTTAATTTCTATGAAATTTCATTTAGCCACAGATATTTTTTCAGTTTTAAGTATACTAACTGAAGTTAGATTTTTTTTTAAAAAAAAAACAAAACAAAACCAAAAAAGCACAAACCCATATATCATTTAGCTAAATGGAGCTGTAGATAAGGTGGTGCCTTGTTGGGAGGAAGGACAGTTTTCATTACTTTAATTGTGTGATTTGTCAGGATTTTCAGCTTTTTATAAATGCTGTAGTGTTATATGACAGAATTAAAAGGATTTAGAATAAAAGGAGTTTAAGAAAGAGACTTTGCAACAGGATTTCAATACTTTTTGTATTTGAGGGATTTAGCTAGCTGTTTTTCATTTCAATCATCCTGCTGCATTTTGTTAAACACTGTGTGGAGCAGGTGTGTACAACGTCAGTATATTGCACATGCAAATAAACACAATTTTACAAATAAAAATTAATCCACCATAACTTGGAAGATTAAATCCCACCGCAGAACTAGAGAGGGCTGCTGACTCCATTAAGCGTTGCAGAGAACAACACATGTTGCTTTTTGCAATCTCATGAATGGGACTGCTATTAACCTGATTTAATGCCCTGCAGAGTCCTCAAAATAATGATCCTTTTCTGCAGTATTAATATTTACATTCTGCAAGTATATATTTGAAGAAGAAAATGGATTTTGTTAAATGAAGGCCTCAGTCATTACAGACTGAAATCAGAAGTTTAAGCACCTATTGTACAAATTCTGCAAATCTGTGTTGTGGATGTTAAAAACTGGTATTCCTGTTGATTTTGTGCAGTTGTTTCCCTGTACACCCCAGCGTCTTTGTTCCCTTTGCTCCCCCTTACTGGTCGTTAAACTTAGAACTAGACCATAAAGAAACGTATGAATTCATGTCTCTAATATATCCTAGTTTTTTAAAAAAAGGGAGAAAAAAAGTACAGTTAAATACCTAAGGTAGAATCCTGGCTCCACTTAAATCAATGTCAGAACTCCTGGTAGTCAGCGTTTCACCCTTAATGCTGAGAGACCAGCTAAGTGAACAGAAACAAATGGAGTTCATCTGTTACTTGTGTTGAAGAAAACAAATTGGTTGCCAGATTCTTGAGAAGACTATATGTTTCATTTATCAATTTACAGGTCAGTACATACAGTACAGGTATGACTCATAAAAGACCTTGAAATAATAGAAATAAAAGGAAAATACATTTGGCTGTTTTAGGTTACTTGTAAAGCTATTGTTGATGGTGAAATTATTGATGTGACCCATTTGACTTTATAAATACCCAAATGTGTAGGAGGGAAGACTTATCCTTGTACAGATGAGAGTACTGAACAGTTTTTGTTACAAATTACTTGCAAGTACCTGAGTTATTAATAATTAACAGAGGCTGTTATGTGAAAATGTATATTGTTAATTGTTGTGCCTTTCTGAATAATTGATTTAGTGCAACTACACCAGTATTTGTGAATTAAGTTTTGAACAGACTATATCACTAATATTCTTTATAGATCAAAGGGTTTGGTATATAATGGAGGAAAAAAATAATTCCATTATTCACCACACACATGCCTATAGATAGATAGATAGATAATTAAAAAGGCAAAGGTTGAAAGCAAACAGAGGAAACAGTAGTGGTGGTGTTGGTTGTTCTTCAGTTCTTTAAGCTGGGTAGAAACATACCCTGACATTTAGTAAAACATTGTTCACAAGTAGAAGAGAGGTTTTTTTGACTCAGTTTTAGTTTTATTTCTGTTTACGTAGCAATAAGGCAAAGTGTTCAAAACTTTTAAAATCCCATTTTAAGCAGCGTGGCATATTTAACAATTTGATGGTTCTGCAGTCAAGGTGACTGCAATTTGGAAAGATGAAAGGCTGGTTTTAATTGCCTAGCCCTGGTGCCAGCGGTGGCGGCATGCACGGATCCAGGGCGGGCAGGACTGTCTCAGCAGCTGAATTAGGGCAGGGGACGAGCCCATGCCAACCTCTGCTGGGGCTATGCTGGTGTCACCTGGTGAAGCTAATAGTAGAAGTAGATTGGATATGTTGTTACAGTCGTGTTTGCACTTTGAGTGAACGACAGCCTGGCGATCACTGGAAGTTGTTGGAGGTTGCTTTCTTAAAGGCTTAAACCGCTTGGTGGCAGAACTTATTGAAGACTGGTTTGAATTTAATCTTGTGTTTTCTTGGGCACGGAGCATGGGCTGTAAGCATGGCTGTGCCTTGGGCAAACACTAGCAGCCCGGCTTGCCATGTGCTGAAGAGAGCGGCTGCTCTTACGCTGCGCTCTTATGGTTAACACTCTTATACTCCACTTATACCTCAGTAGAATAAATTGGAAACCAATGTGTGAAACCCACGCAGAGTTGGTGACAGCCTTACTACAGACAACTTTCATAAAACAATGAAAAGTGAGCAAGTGTTACTTGTTACAGTTACAGAATCCTTAACCCGAACTGAAATGAATAGAAAATAACTCCAAAATCCTGACCAGATTTTGCTACTTGTTTGGTTACTCGTTGCTGTCTCTCTTCTAGAAGAGTTCTTCCAGCGCTCATGACTCTGCCTCTTATTTGTATTTCTAGCATTAATCTTGTACAGGCTGTGAGGTTTGTTTTATATATTCAATATCCTTTCAGTATATTGGGTCCCCACAACATGCACACCTGTACTTTGAAAGGTAGCACAAACAGTGCATAGTGATTTGCTTTTTCTTTTTTTGTTTTCCCTCTTATTAGGTGCTCAGAAATGTGATAATTTTTCTGAGAAGCGGCCTCTTCTTGGTGTGTGCAAAAGCATTGGATCTTCTGGGTAAGAATGTATTCATTAATGAAGTCTTTTATATAAATTGTAATGTCACCTAAAAAAAAAAAAAACAACCTCAGTAGATTACATCTTTAAAGCTCTATTCCCTTTTTGCTTGTGGGATAACACTGAAGTGCTTTTAAAGTTTTTTTTTTTTCAGTGTGTCAGCACACATTTGCCTATGAGTTCAGCTTTTTAAGAGGAATATAAAATAGAGACTCTTGATATAAAAGAGATGAAGAGGTATTTTAAGTTTATTTGGTTCTCAGTGTAATCACAAGTTTATGATTAGCCTTTTCTGATATTAATCCTGGTCAGAATTATTATTGAGAAGTGTCTAAAGCAATCTCTGTGTCTTAAAGTAATTAAAAGATGCTTGCAAGCAGCATATACCAAATTAATTACAAGCACCAAGCAATTTCTTTGTTACAGCCACTCACTGTTTATTAGCAAAATGCATGTTAAATCTACTTCTTTGAGTTAGAAAAATAAGTTAACAGTCTTGACTTGTGCTCTCTGGGCAGTATTGTTGTATCACCCCTCTGATAAAAGAGGGCCTTAAGATATTTTCTGTCTGTTTGATATGTTGATTCAGACGATTCAAGGGATTTATAACTATACCTACAGGAGAATACGTGCTTTTCAAGGGTAATCCTCCACAGAGCAATTCAAAGGCTAAACAGTTGAAGTAAATCTTACAGTAGTAAGACTAATTCTGTGCCACACACCTTTTTCAATTAAGAATTTAATCACTCTGGGTGTAGAGGAAGACTATCAAGTCTCTGTAAATTTGTATGTGTTATTACTGTGTTAAACTAGGATATTAATGTTACCTGTTCTTAAATGTTTAAAACAAAAAACATGCAGGGTAGAGAAGTGAAATGTCTTTCTACTGTTTACAACTTGCAAAACTGCTTATAGTGCCTCTTCTCCTTCCCCCTCCTGTAAGTGTATGTAATCTCGTGAATAACTTTTTCTAAATAAGAGTGCATGTAACTGGTGATGCAAATACTGCTCTTGTAGGACTTTCTGTCTTAATCCAATCAGTGTATTTATATACGTAAAGGATATGTTGGACAGAAAAAACTTTCCTTCCTACCTTTGCTTTAGAAGCTGAGATATTCGAGAAATGAACAAACTGTAAGGATTGTTATTTTCACTGTGTTATTGTATTCCTCAGTTAATGGGAAACACTTCAGACATTATTGGTAGTTTCTGCTTTTCTACAAAAAAAAAAAGCTCGTATGTTTTCAAAATGAATGGATAGGTTTGCGTTACTACTTATCAGTAGTTAAATATCTGCAAATCGAAGATTTAAAATCAGGCTTTCTGCTGTGACCAGAAGACTAGCACATCATTAAAAAAGGAGACTGTGCAACAGGCTCTTGTTTACCCATTTAATAAAGAACCAGTTTGTTCACGGTGGTGAACCTTCCACAGAAAATTCTGAAACACTTTTCTACATTTACTGTTCATTGCAAGTTATTTTTGAAAGAGTCCATGCAAATTACCTATTTTATCAATAGTTTTCAGATTAAGAAGTCTTTGATAGCTGGCCCTCAATTGGAGTCACGCTCCTTTTAAATTGGCTGAAGTGTTGCACTTGTTTTTTCTTCTGTTACATTCATAGATCATTTTATTACATTTCTATAATGATTGTTATATGTAAAGAAGAATTTGTGTAGAACATTAAAATAGCTGTGTCACGAATGGCCTCTGAACCTGAATCACAATTTTAGTTCTGCTCTTTACTTGAGCTTTTGTGCTTAACATCATTTCCTGTATATCTTAATGGTTGTGATCAGATTAAACACCTTGTTTAATCATATATCTGAAGAAAATACTACATTTATTCTAGAGGATTTATTCCAAAGCACTTGATATTTTCACTACAGTCATCTCCTCACCTACTTGGGAGATTATGCTGGCTATGGCACGAAATACTGCAGCTGTCAGCACGCTACTGAAACTGTGCAGGGAATAGGAGGCCTATTCTGTCCACTGCAATGGCAGGTAAAATAATCAGTGAAATGACGTAGCACTGGCACTGAAATATTTCCCATTTAACAGAAAGGTAAACGGAGTGTCTAAAAGACCGAACGATTTTCTCAAAGGCAGCTAGTCCAAAGCAGATCCAGAAGAGAAATCCAGGTCTTCCAGCACACAGGCTGTGGTGCTGATATATTAAACTACATTGTCTTTCTTGAATATAGACTGGATGAGATTGGACATGGTTATGACAGTGGGGCCAATGTCCAAAACAGTTCTGCCAGCACAGCTCCCCTGCCCTTATCCCTCTCTTCACTAGGACACCAGGTTGTCCCTTCTTTAAAGGAGAAATGTGTGACCTCCTGAAGCAATTCTGCTACTTCCAGCAGTCCTCTGGCTTGCTCCCATTCAAATTTGACCCAGGTTCTTGTCTAAAATCTGTCAGAATAATTTACCAACAAGAGTGCTTCTGAGGGAAAAAAAAGTCTGACTTCTTCAGCCTTGATCATCATTTGGATCCCTAGCAGTTCTTCAGAATTTCTGACTTCTGGTTGCTCTTCTCAAATTTGCAGCTATTGTTACTCTTTTCCTGGAACATCCCTGGTAATTTTGACATTTCCAAATAAGTTTTTGTTGTTATCTGTTATTAATAAATAAAGGGCAGGGTTAACATTTTGGAAGAGTTGGTGGCTGGCACCATGACTTATTGTTGAAGTATGTTTTTGGACACTGCTGTATCTGGAGGCAATACTCTAATTTATTTTCCGTGGCAATCCTTTACATAGAATCTATTTTCAGTAGCTGTTCTAGAAGGTGCTTTAAAGTCGTTAATTTTTTGAATGGAAGGTGAAGAATAAATGCATTTTATACCTGACTTATGATAAAACCTCAGTAGGTTATTAACTCTTCATTACAGTTTAGGAGTTGCTGTAAATTATCACATGCTATTCCTGACCTTAAGAAAACATATGTGCTAAAGAGCTATTCATGCTGTGTATAAGCAGTTCTGCATGATACGCGAGTGATCGTACGTACAAATGTGTTGATAAATTTTGTGGTTTTATGGACTAGTACATATATTCAAATGCATAAAAATCTTTGAGAAATTTGGATTCAGCATGTGTGAAAATTACATGAGCAAGTTTTAAGTGTTAAAGATGCTAAACCATTAAAGTAATACAAATCTGATAGAATATAGTTTTTATCTAGATCCACTGCACTGTCATTTAATAGTATTTTATCTTTTAGGACTATATCAATGAGATATTGATGCGTTCAAGTTAGGAGGTGGGATTTCCTGGTTCTGACCACTAGTCTGCATTAGTGGTTACCATCAGGAAATTCTTCTCTTTTCCTTTAGCTGTAAAGTAAATACACTATAATGAGGGAAATATGATAAAAAGGTATTCTTTTTAACGTAGAACATTTGTCAATCTGGAATCCAAAGAATTTTCAAGTGGTGATGAATTAATAACTTCAAAAATGTCACTTATATTAAGTAACTTCAGTACTTTTCGCTATCCCTCTAACGTATCATATACTTTAATGGAAAAAAATTAATGAATAATTTTGTCTGTGATAATGCTAGGACTTCTTTCCTTTATTATGAAACAAAGATGGGTATAAAAGAACTTTATGCAAGATAATGTTTGCCTAAAATCAATGTTTAGATTTATGTTTCACTCCTGAAATTTTTTTCATTGTCATTTACATGGCGAAAGATCTCTTCTGTAACTTAGAAATACAATAGTTTACCCTGGAGATCCCCTAGTGTTTTACTGAATTACAGATTTTTGACAGGTCTAAAAATATCTTGTTAAATTTTAGTATGTCTCCGACAGATTTAGTAACGTATTAACTTAGAAATCAACTTCTGGATAACTTGGCATATGGATTGCATCTCTTTTGTAATGTAACCTAATACAGTAGTCATTGATATATATGCTGATAAAACTTACGTTCCTTTGAATATCAGTATTAAGGTCTTAACCTTCAGTTTAGTATTTCGTAATTTTAAATCTTAATTTCTTTGTGAGAGTCATGGTTGAGAACCTGCTTTAAAAGAATGTGTTTTAGTGTATCTCAAATTTTAAACTGTGCACTTTGAAATTAGTTTCTGGCACCTGCTTTATGTAAAAATTCTGTAGGGAGAGATTTGCCACTAATCTCAATCCTTGTATTCCCCCCAATGAGTATTTTACTGGGGAAGATGCAAATTGTGTTTCTAAACTTTTGCCTTGTATCTGAGTAGCTTTTGGTACACACATTTTTGTATTTTAAAAGTCAAATTTTCCGTCTAGTAAAATGACTGAAATGTCTAGCACGGTTTCACTATATAATCTTTTCAAAACAATAGTTTTCGCAGCTCCCCGAAAGGATGCAGTCTTGACACATAAATGGGAAACAGATTGTGTTTTTTGGCTGATGCTGCTATGCTGGTTTAGATGTTGGTTCAGTCAACTTCAGTCTTAGATTACAAGATTTGCAAATTAAAGGAAAACCAAAAAGGAAAGAACATCTGCATAAATTTTGGGGTTTTTTGTGGAGTTCTGTAGAGGTGTGCTTACTTTGTCTTGGTGATAAGATAAACAAATCTTTATACACATACAAAATGAATTGATGGGTTTTGGTACATATTAATGAATTTTCTAGGTGGTGAAACATCAAGTTGAGTAATCTGTGAAGTAGTAATGGTGGCCGCAAAACTGTGTGGCAGAACTAGTCAACGTGTGCTGTTTGGAGCTGCTCAGTTTAGAGATAGCTACATAAGACCAATTATGTTAAATGGAAATACATTCCTGTTTTCCTCATGGCTTGTTGAAACCCTAGTTTGGAATATGTTGGATCTGTAGAACACCTTCAAATACACCAGAGAGGTCCAAAATAAGCTAGATGTGCTTTTTGTTCTGGTCAAATGTAAATGTACCAATAGCTCTAACTTAAGTAAATGCTTCATTTTAGCTAATTGAGATGTTTAAGGGGAAATTGACCAGTATAATTTTGTTCTATTTTAGATT